ACAGTAATAGATTTGAGGAACAAAACAGATGTGACATGTGCAAAACAAATGCATTACAGAATTAAGCCATTCCTTGTTGATAATTAAATTATAATAAATGAATTAAATGATCTAGTTAAGGGCTTGGGATTTAGTTTCGTGGTTCTGGCATCTGCTTCACAAGCGCAAGGACCTGAGTTCGATCCCCACTACAAAATAAATAAATAATTGGTCTAGTTAAAAACCAGCAATTTTCCAGGCATGGTGGTGCATGACTATAATCCCAGCACTTCAGAGGCTAAGGTAGGATGATTACCATGAGTTCAAGGACAGCCTGAGCTACATAGTGAGTTCAAGGTCAGGCTGAAGTGCACAGCAAGACTCAGTCTCAAAAAAATCCATTGGCAATATGGACAGCCTGCATTGAAAAAAGAAAACATGATCCAAATACAAGATATCTAAAAGAAACTAACTGTATAGACACAAATATATTGAAAGTGAAAGGCTGAAAAAAAAAGAATATTCTATGCAAACAATATACAAAAGGGAAAGCTGGTGTGTGGCTACACTGATATCAGATAAAATAAACTTTAAATTAAAAAAACTTTAGGGCCAGGAATTTAGCTCAGTGGTGCTGCTGTCTGCCTTGCAAGTGCAAGGTCCCAAGTTTGATGCCCAGTACAAAAAAAAAAAAACAAACTTTACAGGAGACAAAAAAATTAGATGCTGATAAAAGAGTAAACTCGTCAATAAGATATAACAATTACAGGGAGGAGGGGGTGAAGGGAGGGCAGGGACAAGGGGAAAAAATGAGAACCAAGACTTGTCATGTAGAGGTACAAGATCCCAACAATGAATGTAACTGTACTGTCTCCCTAAAATGTACCAATAAACTCAATTAAAGCTGAAAAAAAAGATATAACAATCACAAATACAGTAATATCTCAGTTCATGAACAGTTTTGTTTGCAAAGAATTTAGTTTGCAAACAAAAGCATTCAGCAAAATTTTGCTTGTTGTAAACTCTGCCTCAGGTGACAAACACCACCACCATTATCTTCCCTAAACCATAAAACAAATTAAGTTCATAAACCAAGGTACCACTGTGTAGGCAGCTAAAAACAGTCCCAAAATATATGAAGCAAAAAATTGAAAGAACTGAAACAACTGGTTCCATAATAATTGAGCATTTTGACATAGCACTGGAAATTCTAGCAAATGCAATTAGGCAAGAAAAAAAGAAATAAAATGTATTCGAACTGGAAATGAAGTAAAATTATATCTATTTGCAGGTGACAATCCCATTACAAAGTTAAAACATCCACAGACTAAAGTAATAAGAGAATTCAGCAAAGTTGCAGGATGCAAAACCAAGACATAAAATTATCTTTAACTTCTACACAATATTTCTCCATCAATTTTGAAAGATAATTTTGCAGGGTACATCAATCTTGGTTGGAGGTTATTTTCTTAGGAATTGAAATACTTCACTCCAAACTCTCCCTGACTTCAGAGTTTGGGTCAAGAAGTCATCTGTGATTCTGATGAGTTTTCCTTTATAAGTGATTTGTTTCTTTTTTCAAATAACTTTTAATATTTTGTTTTTGTATGGAGTTTCTGGAATCTTGACTCTTATATGCCTTGGTATAGTTTTTTCTGGTCATGGCTAATTAGGGTTCTATATTCATTACTTATCTGGAAGTCAAATTCTTTTTCCATGCTTGGGAAATTTTCTGCTATTACTTCTGTGAATAGGTTTTTTATAGCCTTTTTGCTTTCTTCTGACTTCCCACTGATTATGATTAACCTTATGTTATTCTCCTTTGCAACATCTAGCATCTGTTGGATTCATTTTTTTCTTCGTCCCTTGCTACTTTAAAGAAGTTTTTCATTTGGTGGTTGCTAACTACAACTTTGTCTTCTAAATCTTATATTCTGCATTTGTATTGGTTGATTCTGCTGTGCATATTTTTGATAGAATGTTTAATCTCCTGGATATCTATTTGAATATGTTTACAGAATCCAGTTCTTTCCTGTGTTGGGCATTCATGGTTTCCAGCACATTCCTAGGCTCTTTTACCTGTATCTATTCTAAATTCACTAATCATGTCCTTTATTGTAGTCATCATCTCTTTAGTAAACTATACAGTTATTTTTTATTTCCTAGAGCCTCTTTCATCTGATTTGCTACTTCTGCTGCTACCATTCCAGAAAGCCCAACCAGCTGGCTTTTGATTTCTACAACTTTGATGCTCCCTGGATTTGCCTTGAGTGAACAGCAGGTCTGGGGTTACATCTTGCTTCCTTTTTTTCTCATTTTCTATTTGTTTTCTGTGTTGGTGTTTGTAAATTGCTTATGGTGGGTAGCTTTGTTACTAATACCAAGATCTCATTAGAAAATTATTACTTTTCACAGATGTCTTCTACACATAGCTGACTTTAACTTGTGAGTCTGTCCCAGGATCCTGACCCTTCAATTTGTTAGGGATTAAAGGTTGCCTATTTGGCCTAGCACCCAGTTCTTTGGTATTGGATTATGGTATTGTTTGTGACCCCTAGACAATCTTGGTATTGGCATATAAGGAAGATCAACTGATCACAACTATGTTACCTCAGCTAAAGTAGTATGACCAGTAATAACAATAGCATCAAGTATGGTCCAGGAAATGACAAACTGTGACAACTATTTATTTGCCACCTCTAACCATAAGTACAAGCTTTATAGCTATATAACAATCCAAAACCAATCAAAAATTTATACACAGTAAAAATCCACTTAATAGAGCAATTTTAACCTTAGGGGAGATAATTTAAAAGAGATAAGAGAAAAAACAGAGAAATAAAAGAAGACAAAGAGATTAGAAACAAGGCTGAAGAGGAAAGATTACTCAAGCTTTGAGAAACTGGTGAAGAAAACAGGAGATAACAAAAGAAGAAAAAATAAAGACAAGAACAAGGCAAAACAAAATACTAAAAATTTCCCAAGGTACATGAATTGTCTTTTCCTGGGTATTCCCCTTTATACAATGGGATCATGTAAGATTTAGGGAATAAAAACAGAAAAATCCCCCTTCTTAGTTTTTTAAAGGGCGATCGCTCTGAGTGTAAACTGATACCCAGATTTCTTTGGGTTGCTTCTGTTATTGAAGTGCCTGCCTCCCACACATGCACATATACCCTCTACCAATTATTCATCAAGGAACTATAACTGTTCATAATGTGGTGAAAATACTACAAATTTGGTGTCAGAAAAGACTGGGTTCAAATAACACTTGGTCATTTACTAACTAATTCACCTCTTCAAATGCTACTTCCTCAAGTATAGATATCGGGGTGAAGTGAACTACTCTGCAGAGCTAGTATGAAAATTAAATGAGATACACGGAACAAGAAAGCAACTGTCACATAACAGCCAATAATTATTCATGATCCTTGCTCTATTTATTTTACAAAAGTCCCTTAGGCTTATTTAATTTATAGGAGAGATAAGAATTATCTGGCTAGAAACAATTCTCTGCCTCTATTACCCTACGTTTTCCTCCAGGTATATGCCCAAACCCAACTATCCCTTTTTCTCTCTGATCAGTTCAGTAACATATTAGGATACAAATTTGTTCTCCTGTTAGTTTAACTTCTGTAGGCTTTCTAAATCACCCCAACTGTAGCCAAGATACACCTACACACATAGAAAGGCAACCAGGAATCGTGTGTAAGCAAGGAAGTCGATGTGTAAGTTCCTGGGGAGCTTCTCTGTGGGAAAACAATACATGATGAAGGAGACATATCCTTTCTGCATCTTCAACGGTTATCAGGTACATGTAAGACTAGCTATCCCAATATGGGAATTAAAAGAAAAGTTAAATAAGTGGGAAGGACAAAATTAAGTGCCAACTGCTCTAAGTTCTAGAAACTGTTTACAGGGTGAGATTAGGACAGTCAAAAATACAAAATGCAAATCTTTGAGCAAATGCCAGACATTCCACTGCCCTTTATCTTGTTTTTATCTTGAAAAATATCCAAAATCTAGTTTTAGACTAGCTTGTTTCAACATGCTTACTGACACACATGGGAATATACTTTTCTTGTTTCAATTCAACATATGGTTCCTGAAGATCGATAATGGAGTCTACTCCAAAACAGTTGTTTTCAATAGCCAACACTAAAAGAGAATGTTTCACATCCT